CCCTCTTTCTCAAAAAAATAAAAAATAAAAGGTAAATTGAAGACAATGCCTGCTTCATCGGATGGGGTTTGATCAGATGATATACGTGAGTACAGCACAGTGCCCAACAAGCATCCCCTTCTTTAGGAACTGACCTTGTGGTAGATTGTCGTTGTGACTAGTGCCAGAACACCCTTCAGAATTCAAGTAACTGCCTTCTCCTGGTCATCCTGAATCCCCATTCCTTTGACCCAGCAACAAGTAACCCCAGCGCTATGTGAACCTCGGGGAAGCTGAGAGCCAGTCCTTCCATAAAGCTCTCTGAACTGGAAGGAATTGGGGGGTGGGAGGGGGCAGCAGATTGAGTGGACTGGGGTGGGTGTGAGGGTACAGCCTGCTTTGGTTACCTATTGGATTCATGGCCACAAAACCACAGAATCTAGGATTAAATCTGGCCTCTTGGAGGTCATTTGGAGTCCTGTGTGGGGTATGTCTGCAAGTGGTACTGGACTGAGCTCCTGTGGCCCAAAGACAAGCTTTGGCCCTGGTCAAGAGGGTGAGGTTTACAGGCCTTACCATTACATGACCTCATGAGGTAAAATGGCAGTGTTCTCTCTCTCTCTCAGGCCAATACAAATTTCCAGGGCAGCCCATTGGCCCCAAATGTCAGGTTAAAGCAGAAGTGCTTATCACTTTGGATTTTATACGCCCTTTCCACAGCCGGACCAAGTAGACTTAATTTATTATATGCCTTCCTTCAGATTCCCAAGTGCTCCTGAGGGTAGCACAAAATCTTAATTCCAGAGTTCCCCCACAGAAAGTCCCTGGAAGGAAGAGCAAGTTGGCCTTTTGGAAGCAAGGGTGAAGAGAAAACAGGTTGTGTGGGAAGGGGAAGGCTTCACGTAGGGGAAAGACATGGAGGGTTGGTTAGGATAGAGATGGGTATGGGAAGGCCATTCCAGGGGACAGCAACAGTAAAGAATATTTTCTGAATGCAACTGTGTATCTAGATCCCCCCTCTGGAGGAAATGCCTCATCAGCAGTTGAAAGCAGGAGGGAAGAAACTTGAGGAGTCCTTGCTGATTCGAGTGGACGTACTGCCTCAGCTGAGGTGACCCTGTCAGCCTATGTGACCCACTGCAAGTCTTTCTCTAGCCCATATCTGTTAGGACTCACAGGACAAAGCCGCCCTAGGGTACTTTCATCCTATTCACCAAGCCAGTCCCATGGAGGCCCTGTCTCCTTTTTTCCTACAAGTGTAGCCACAGCTAGACTACCTAAGATGCAAGTGGGATTGTAAGCAGACCCTCTCCCCCAAAGTAACTGAGAGACTTGGAGGATGAAGAAAGGCATCAGTGAACAATGGATCATGTGCTCCCTTCCCCAGGAATTCCTCCTGTTGCAGTTCAATCACACTCTGCTTCTTCCTTGGCACGTTACCTCTAGTCTTCATCTCCATGCTCACTGGCTACCAGATAACCTGACCCACTTAGCCCAGAAAGGACAGATAGGACTAAGGAGACTTTGGTCTCTCTCCTAGACAAAATAATTTTTGTAGGTAATGCTTTAAATTAAAGGATGGCAGGGGCGCCTGGGTGGCTCAGTCGGTTAAGCGTCTGACTTCGGCTCAGGTCATGATCTCACAGTTCGTGGGTTCGAGCCCTGCGTCAGGCTCTGTGCTGACAGCTAGCTCAGAGCCTGGAGCCCGCTTCAGATTCTGTGTCTCCCTCTCTCTGACCCTCCCCTGCTCATGCTGTCTCTCTCTCTCTCAGAAATAAATTAAGAAATTTAGTAACATAAAGTGACTTGTACATTATAAAGTGATATAAAGATTAGTTGTTGCCATTTACAATCCTAAAGTTTTCTCTTTTGTATATAATAGTAATTATCAGGCCATTTTTTATACAGCTGTTTAGTTCCAAAATAAAACTAACTTTTCAGCTGTACCTGGCTGGCTCAGCTGATGGGAGTGTGTGACTGGAGCCTACTTTTATTCCCACTGCGTCTGGGGGGAATTGTGTGACCCATGAAGCTTCCTCCCCACCACGCTCAAACTAGCCCCAGAAGCTGAGACATCTCCCAAACCTCCACAGCCCAATCCACCCTGAGAAGCTATTAAGTAACCCAGTTGTGACTCAGCACCAGACTCTTTCCTCTTTCTCCCTACTGGCCAGAAAGAAAGGCAGAACCAAGCAAAAGGCTCCTCCCCTATGGACGGCCACATCCTCACCACAAACTGAGTCATGGCCACACCCTGCCTGGATGGAAAATCACCATGAGAAGGAAGAAGGTTAAATTCCAGGAGTTTTCAAGTTCTCAATTCAGAAATCATAGCCATTTACTCTCCACCTGGAACTAATTGAGGAAAATAGTTCTTTTCCTGGCCCTCACCCTAAGTATGTCCAGGTATAGATGAGGTAAGGCTGCTTGCACCCAGGACTATGTGGAGTAGGAGGCCACAGTCAACCTGTGTGTGCAGTATCTGTAATAACCTTGGCCTCTGTGAAGGACGATCTCTGGTTCAGACCTGGCTTTCACAAGCCCCACCTTCCCGGTAGGCAGGTCTGAATGGTGGAAAAGAGGCAATTCTTCAAATCCTCCACCAGGCTGTGGGAGGATTCCTCTCCAGAGACTCAGGGCCCCACCCTGCAAGTTTCCCTGTGATGAAGGCATTGTTGGAGAAGTGCCATAGGTTTTAATTAGATTTGTTTTATAGCAGATAGGTTTAAAAAAAATTTTTTTTTATTATGTATGGCTTTCTAACTTCTTAGATTCAGAGTCCTGTTGCTTTTGTGTGGAACACTATAAAATGGCATATTTAAGGTCATTACAATTTTATTGGCATAAAAAGACATAATGTGTATGCTATGAAAAAAAGTGACACCCATGAGACTGGCTCAGGTATTTGAGTTTTTTCCTGGTAATATATACTATCTGTTCATTACTTCTCATTCTATTATTTGCTAATACTTGCTATAGCATAGGTCACTGACAAAGGGAAATTATAAGAAATGCTTACAACTGAGAAAAATCCATTCACAACTTCTGAAAATTGAGCAAAAATGTTGTTATACCACTAGAGTGGCCAAGCTGCTGGGCTGAGTTGTTGGCACACCTGCGGGAGTAGTCTGAGAACCTCTAGGGAATTAAAACAATGGTTAAGAGCTCAAATTCCAGAGTTGGGCAGTTCTGATAAAAACCCAGCACTGCCACTAACCTGTTGTGAGACCTCAGACACATTATTTAAGATCTCTAAAGAAAACCTATCTTCCAACTTTTTTGTCAGCATTAAACGAAAAGATACTTGTAAAGTTTGAAAGGCTATCTAGCCTAGAATGAGAACAACAGTTCAGGAGTCAGGTCATCTGTCAGTCACTAGCTGTGGAATACGAGCAAATCACTTCTCCTCTCTGTTTTCTCACCTACAAAATGGGAATAACAGGCCCTACTTCATAGGCTTGTGAGAATTACATCAGTCAAACACAGAGTGCTTACAACAATGCCAAGCACACAGCAAGCCAAAGTGTTAGTAAATTATTAAAGTGCTTATTAGCATAAAACCTGGCACCTACCTAGTAAGAAGTAAAAAATGTTAGCTCTCTCTAATACTGTATAGATGAGCTGTAAGGGAGCTCCCAGGAAGCAGGAATTTCAGCAAGGGTGGGCTCCCTGGTGGGGCCATTTATTTAGTGGAATGATATTTCTCCTAGACAGGAAAGCAGAAAAGGACAGAGAACCTAAGGAGACTTGTAGAGTCAGAGTGTAACAGTGTTGATTAAGAACAGGTAAGGAAGTTTAAGAAAAAGCTCCTACTGGGTGTTATATGGAAGTGATGAATCACTAAATTCTATTCCTGAAATCATTATTACACTGTATACTGGAAGGAAGGAAGGGAGGAAGGAAGGGAGGAGGGAAGGGAGGAAGGAAGGGAGGAAGGAAGGGAGGAAGGAAGGGAGGAAGGAAGGGAGGAAGGAAGGGAGGAAGGAAGGGAGGAAGGAAGGGAGGAAGGGGAAAGGAAGGAAAAATAAGAAAAAGAAAAAACTCCTAGGGAGATGAGCCTTAAGAGTGGTACTTCCATGTTGCGGAAGGTCAGGAACTACAATGCAGGTAAGATACTGGGGCAAGGAAGGTGATCTCCAAAACAGGGTGAAAGTAATGAGACAATAGGTGGTCTAAGGCAGACTTTGTAAATCGAGAAGCTACAACAGAATAAAAAACCTATACTTGAAAAGCCAGGCTTATTTAATGTTTTTTGTATTCTCCGTGCTTATATTTGTTTTTCTTCATTAATATTTCAAAATATTTGATGTCCAACCTGTCTCTGAGCTAACTTAGGGTTACAGGTACATGAAGGACAGCCTGAAGGGCCAGCAGAAGGTTGGCAGTGGGAATTTCAACAGGGAGATGGATTTCACTGAAACAACTAGGTATCCTAGAAACAGCTCTTTTCTTCACCTTGCTAACCTTGGATTAGCCTACACCTTGCTAAATTTGGATTTTGTTTTATTAAGGGAGGCTGCATTTCTCTAGATGTCAAATGAGAGACCAAGCCGACTTCCCGCGCTTGTCAGCTATTTCCCCCCCACCTCCCTTACCCTAGAGAAATAGCTGGGAAGAGGAAGAGAGTAGGGGCCGAAGCCCTGAGATAGAGAGCAAGGGGGCAATGGCTAAGTTAAGTGCAGAAAACAGAGGTCCTAAGGGTAGGAAATCTGAGCTACTTTGTCCTCAGCGGTACTTTTAAATCTTGAGGGACAGGCATCAGTGGTACTCTGTATCCTTGAGTTTGTATCATCTGCATAACTGATAACTGCATAACTTTCTCTAGTTCATGAACAAAAATGTTGCCAGATCTGTGGTACATACACTGCACTAGATGACTCAGCTTTTACTCCACCCAACATAATCAGTTCCAACCCTCAGGATATTTCACTCTCCCCACCCGACACCCCATTTGAGGACTTGGGGCAGGTGCTGGGCCAACGCTAGTCAGACCACAGTGATCATATCCAGTCCACAGCACCTTCCATTTTATTGTTTTATTTACAAACGGGGTGAAGTCAACTGGGAAAATCAGGAGTAGGGAGTCAGTCTGGGCCATCCAAACGTGGAGTGGTTCCTGGGTCAGTCTCCACCATGAAGGCCGCCTCTTCTATCCTTTTCCTGCCCCTTGGTCATGGCCCCTTGATTCCTCAGGGCAGCCTCGCATGCTGCCCCTGAGCCTTTGTATGAGGGCAGATGGATCCTGGGGGAACAGGGTGGTACGAGGGCTGGGGCCCCCTCAGTTTGTGTAAACCTGAGTTCCGATCACACGCATGATTTCCTTCTGTATCTTGGGGTCCTGAGTATTAATGTTGGCATCGCCCACCTGACCATCCTCATATCTGCCAAAGACAGGGCAAGTGTGAGCACAAGAGGGAGAAGAATACCAGAATAATGTCAACCAGTGGAACTGTATTTGAGGTGTGGCTTCTGTATTCCATCCCAGAAGCCAAAACCCTTTCTTGCTACTCTTTAGGGTGGAAGAGATTCAGCTTATTGGATTTCCTTGAAACAGATCTATACCCATCCCCATCCTCCACAGGGAAAGTTCCAGTGCCAGCTCCACTCAGGAAGCCAGGGATAAGTCTCAGATGACAGGAACAGACTTTCTCAGTAATCACAGCATCACACCCCCCACCCCTCATTCCTCAGAGTAATCCCCAAGGTACCCTCCTAGACTTACACAAAGAAGAACCGTGTGCAGACATGGTCAGACACAGGGCACACCCAGATGTTCCCATGCTTCTGGAGGTCCTTAGATGTAATCACTGGGAAGAAGGGGGCCAGAAATTATAATGCTTAAGTCACACAGTCCAGGCAGGGGAGGGAAGACGATGTGTCAACAACACCCTCGGCTGAATCATGTAGCAGAGCTGCACCAGAAATAAAGGTTGGGGACACAGAAATACAGGGATTGGGTGAGCCACCTACCTTCACAAAGTGCTATACAGTTTAGATTCCGACTCTGCAGGAACCTTGACTGAATGGATCGGGTCTGGAAGAGAAGGACAGCAGAGCCAGGTGGACTGTTACAGCTTTCCCTAGGCAGGATGTTTAGCTGTTGATGGCTAGGGGTGTGAATAAGGGATATCTGGGGCTCCCAGGCACCCCCCCCCCAAATTTTCACATATCAGTCTGACTGGGTCCATAGCTTCCATCTTTACATTTTCATGTCATTGCATTTAAACTCAGTCTCTTCTTTCACACTTATGACTGAGGCCACATAGGACTCTGGAAGTGTGTTCATCTTCAGACATACCGGATTCCTTCAAATGATCTTCAAACTACCTACCTCCCCCACCATTTGTTTCCTATCCATCTCTGTATCCTAAACTTATCCCAGGGGAAGGATTCTGCCTGCCTCACTGGAACAGTGCCAACTAATAATACCTGGGGGATGGTATTCATCCTGTTATATCTCTGGACCAGCTCATCCTTGGAGGGCATCCTGTGCTGTCCTTTTCCCATTCCTGTCATAGAACAACAAATCCAGTTTACTTACCCACTCCTCAATCACACAGTTACTAAAATGGCTACTATGTGCCAGGCACTGAGCTAGACACACAGTAAATAAAATAACAAGGTATCTCCCCTGACAGAATTTAGTCTAGTGGAAACTACAGGCAAGGAACAAGTACTTACAACACAGGATGGCAAGAAGTGTGATGAGGAGAATCTAGAACAATGTGTGAGCTAGAGAAGGGGAACTAGCCTGCCCTAGGGTTTTGAAGAAGGCTTCCTTTTTTTTTTTTTTTTTTTTAAGTCTTTATTTTATTTTGAGAGACAGAGAGCAAGCGGGGGAGGGGCAGAGAGAGAGGGAGACACAGAATCCGAAGCAGGCTCCAGGCTCTGAGCTGTCAGCACAGAGCCTGACGCAGCGCTCGAACCCATGGACTGTGAGATCATGACCTGAGCCAAAGTCGGACACCTAACCGGCGCCACCCAGGCGCCCCTGAAGAAGGCTTCCCAGTGACAGCCAGGAAGAATTACCTAAATGAAGAGGAAGAAAGTGTTCTGGCAGAGGTAAAAGGACATGGAAGGTCTGGAGGAAAGAAATCATTGTGATTTAGCTTATATGGAGCATAGTCAATGGAAGGGGAACAGCAACAGATGATGTGGAAATGGTGAGCCAGGATCAGATCAAGCAGGCCTTATAGGCCATGTTAAGACAACTGGAGTTTATCCTGAGAATATCAAAGAATCACTAGAAGTTTCAAAGATAGGGGAGGAACACATGAAATGAGCCAGGAATGAGGGGCTCACGAGAGCGGTGATATCAACACATGGGATCAATGCCAAACTGAGCAAAATGAGTGAAGAGGAAGCAAGCAGAGCAAGTTAGATCTGCTCTAGTCTCAAAGTTACATAGAAAACTACGACCAGAGTCACTGAAAAGAAAAAGCAGAAAGCACAGCAGGTAAGTGATGAATCATTTTCCACAAGTAATCACAATGGCAACAAGCTTGAAGAATCCTGCTTTCTTTAGAAAGTCCTCCCAGACTTGAGGAAGCGGTGCCAATTCCCTGCAGTGTCCCCCTGTCTAAATCCATAAATCCTCTGCCATCCTTATCCCCCAGAGAATAGCCCTTTTTATAACATTTAGACTTAGACTCATTCCGGATTTTTCTTATTTAGATATGAAACAGTGCTTATGTGCCCCTACTCCCCACTGTTTTTGGCCCGTGACTAGGACTTTAGTCTCTGTACTCAGCTTTCTCACAGGCCTAGCCTTATCACGGTCACGTGTGTGTGTGTCTGTGTGTCTGTCCCTGTTTGTCTGAGAGGGAGATGGATGACGATGGGAAATGATGCTACGCTTACAGGCCATAAGCAGGGCCCCTGTCCCACCACTCCACCTTGGAACATTGTATTACAAATCCCACTCTCCTTCAGTTCTTGGTTTTGTGATAGTCATGGTGCAGGAGTGGGGATGCCCGGACTGACCTTCCTCACTGCGCGGGCCGTCAACCCCTCATGCACTCACACTAAAGTCCCACGACAGATATATGGCCTGAACAAAATGAAGGGCAAGACTTAAACTCTTCACTTCTTCCTCCTGAGGGTGCAACACTTACCACCCCTCTATTTCCACTTTCCCCATTAGCCTTAAGTAGGTTTAGCTCTGAATCTAAACACCATGACCTTCTCATCCTGGGTATTTCAGTGCAAAATTCTGAATGAAATTCCCACTCAAGTTCTACCCCAGAGGATAAGAAAGAACAATATGATTTCTATGGCTGGTCTTACAAATGGCCCTCTGATGCAATCCAAATCTTGTCCCATCTCAATCCTGCTGCACACTGTCCTGTTCATATTGACCCAATGATCTTCTGACAGTTTACCAAGACCAGAACCTGAGAAAATGGTGGCCAGAGTAATCCCTGGGTGCTTTGTGTCCAGAGTATACCCATATCAGAAATCTCTAAACAGGACTAAACAAACAGATGGAGCTTACCAACTCCTTTCTCACTGGCCCTCATTTTAACCCACACACGATGGCCAAGTCATTGGAGTGGAGGCTCCATTAACCAAATGGAGGCTCTCTATTTACATCAGCTCCCAGACAGCACCCAGTACCACAAAACTAAGGATACCCTGAGGAAGAACAGAGAAAACCAGAGCAGAATAGGGTATATGGAAACATGTAAGATGGAATTGGTTAAACACTAGAGTAACTACAATAAACTGGACATCTGTATGCATCTCACATTATAGAGACTCTGACATATCTGTGGGCCCTCAGAGACTCAGTCATTCAAGCAAAGCCTACTCTGTCAGTCCAATATAGTGATAAGAACACTGGCCCAGAAGGTAGGAAGCCTAGATTCCAATCCTAGGTCTGCTACTCACAGCTGTGTGTAAATTCTCTGTGTATGAGCTTTCCTAACTGTAATGTAAGAAAAGACTAGACGAGATGATCTATAACTAAAAGTAAAATTCTATGCCATTTTGTAACCATAATCAGTGGGCCTTTGCAAGAAGGAAAAGGATGGTGTCCTATGATGTTTTTCTGTAATTAGTAAAGTGATGAAGAAAGGTAAGGAGTCAATAGAGATTCATGGCTCCATCTACCTAAGGTATTCAGGCACTCAGTAGTAAACAAAAGCCAGTGAGAGAGGGGAGTGGGAAAGAACAGGGAGAGAATAGACAGGAAACAAGAATTTTGTGGGCACCAAGAACCAGGAGAATCTCACTAGTTGGAAAACAACAAGAGCTTAATGAGGGAAGCTCAGGCTGGAACAAAGATAAAAGTTGAGGAACCTAGACAAAAAAGCCAAAAAGACTACCCCAACCCCAACCCCACTTTGCACCCCAGGCACAGAATAAGATTCATTCACACATTCAATTGGTATTTATTGGGCACTTACCCTGGGTGGATGAATCATCAGGTTTGGTTCATGACACACTATCATATATTTATTTATCATCCACTATACCTATAGACCCAACCTATAGACTAAATCCAAGAACCAAAACTTTACTACTGATTTACATCAATGTGCTCCTACCCTATCCCAACTATCTGCCTCTCCTTGGGAGGTAACCACTATCCTGAAATTTCTTTAGTTTTATCATACATACACACACATGCACCAAAATTTTGTTTGCTTTTAAACAATATAAAAAAGACATTATACAGTAGTCTTCTGGGCTTGCCTTTTTTTTCTTTAGCTCAACTTATTACTAAGATTTTTCCATGCAGTTAAGTGCCACTATTTATCCATTTTCATTGCTAAACAATAATCCACTCTGAGATTATAGTAAAATGTATTTATCCATCCTCCTGATAATCAGCATTTGGGTTGTTTCCAAGATTTGCTATCGCAAACAGTGCTGCTTTGAACACTCATGTACACCTCTGGGTATATATATGCAGGAATGAAAATGCTGGGTCACTGGGGTAAATTTTCTCAGCTTTCTGAAATTAAACACCAAATTGTTCTCCAAAGTAGTTGTACCAATTTATATTCCAATAAACAATAAAAGAGATCCTGCTGATCTACAACTTCTAGGACCATCAGAGGTATTACCAGACTTCTTAATTTTTGCCACTCCACAAAGGTGCTAAATAGTAGTCATGTGGTCTTCATTTTACTTTCCTGATTAATAGTTCAGCAACTTTTCATATTTTTTGGTCACTTTTTCAGTGAAATGCCTGTTTACATCATTTGCCTATTTTTCTACTGGGTTTTCTTTTTCTTACTGATTTTTAACATTTTAAAGGACATTTCTGGGGTATCAGGGTGGCTCAGTTAAGCATTCAACTCTTGGTTTCTGCTCAGGTCACGATATCACTGTTGCTGAGGTCAAGCCCCACAATGGGCTCTGCACTGGCAGTGTGGAGCCTGCTTGGGATTCTCTCACTCTCTTCCTGCCCCCTCTCTCGTTTGCGCTCTCTCTCTCTCTCTCTCTCAAAATAAACAAACATAAAAAAAGGTTTTTATTACTAATCTTTTGGGGTAACTGTGTCTTCTGTTTTGTAGCTTTTCACTTTCTTAAAGTATCTTCTGATAAACAGAAGTTTTCAGTTTTAATAATATTAAATTGACTTATCTTTTATGATTCTACCTTTTTTCATTCTCTGGATAATTTTATATAAAACTGTAATAACTTGTTTGGTTTGGTTAAAGTTTGGTTTAAGATTCACTTATAAACCTAACTGGGCTTGGTGAGTTTTTTTATTTGGTTGCTGCTGATATTGTTAGAGTAGTTTAAAATTTAGAGATATCTCTAGTTCTTTGATTCTGGATCTAAGTTTTCTTATCTTTATAACAGTTACAATTACTAGAGAATACTAAATAATAAAATAAATAAAAAATATAGCACTGTAGGGGCACCTAGGTGGCTCAGTTGCTTGAGTGTCTGATTTCAGCTCAGGTCATGATCTCACCACTCATGAGTTCGAGCCCCTCATCAAGCTCTGTGCTGCCAGCTCAGAGTGTGGACCCTGCTTCAGATTCTGTGTGTCTCCCTCTCTCTCTACCCCTCCCCTACTCATACTCTGTCTCTCAAAAATGAGTAAACATTTAAAAAAATTTTTAAAGAATATAAGCACTGTTAGGGGCGCCTGGGTGGCTTAGTCGGTTGAGCTTCCGACTTTCGCTTAGGTCATGATCTCGCGGTTCGTGGGTTCGAGCCCCGCGTCGGGCTCTGTGCTGACTGCCAGCTCAGAGCCTGGAGCCTGTTTCAGAGTCTGTGTCTCCCTCTCTCTCTGGCCCTCCCCTCTCTCTCTGTCTCTCTCTCTCTCTCCTAGAAATAAATAAAACATTTAAAAAAAAAAAAAAAAAAGAATATAAGCACTGTCGGGGCGCCTGTGTGGCTCAGTCGGTTAAGCATCTGACTTCAGCTCAGGTCGTGATCTCACGGTTCGTGGGATCGAGCCCCGCGTCGGGCTCTGTGCTGACAGCTAGCTCAGAGCCTGGAGCCTGCTTCAGATTCTGTGTCTCCCTCTCTCTCTGACCCTTCCCTGCTCACGCTGTCTCTCTCTCTCTCTCAGAAACAAATAAAACATTAAAAAATTAAAAAAAAAAAAAGAATAGAAGCACTGTCTCCTTCATATAGTAGATATGCAATACATAGTAGCTACGTTTTATATAGGGACTGTGTAGAACACAAACAAAAGAAGACCGAAAAGGAAGTAAGACATGAACCTGGAACACTGAGAGAGCTCCAAAGCAGATTCGTTTTCTGAATAGAACAAACCTGGACTCATCTCCTGACTAGAATATGAACCTCACTCATGTGTTATCTTTGGACTAAAATGCTTTCTCTTCCATTCTTATAATAGTATGTAATTATAGACAGTTTAAATTTTGAAAGGTAGTTGACAGGGAGAACAATGTCTCCAGAAATGTAAGCCAATGGAAGATACTCAAGCATTCAAGTGTATTCCCATATAACCTCTCATCCACATGTGTACATACACCACCTATAATAAGAAGCTATTGCCCACACCAAAAATGTGTTCTATGAAAAGCTTCATTTCAATCTCCCAATTATTTCCTAACTTATTCTCAGAGCCAAGCTTCTACAATAAGACCATCCCCACAGAGAAGAGGACTTCCTAAGAGAAAGGGGGATAACTGGCCTCACTGTGTAAAGAATCTAAATTTCTAACCAGAGGATGTAAAGAGACAGATTATGTATCTATGACTGGGAGAGAGCTGACATAGACCAAGTATCCATGATGGAGGAGGAGGAGACAGCAAAGAGTATGTATTCACAAAATGGATGCGATGTAAATAGAGTCAAGGTAGCCAGACAGTATTTCTTACCTGAGTATCCAAAGGAAATACTGGAGATGGGGCTCAGGTAGATGCCTTTGCCATAGGCTGCTCCATGCAGCTTGCAGGGAAACACCAGGATGAGCAATATGAGCCTGGGCCCTCCCATGGCTGTACGTTAGGCAGCCACAAGGCCTATCCAGCCCTCTGTCCCTCCAATTACCTTGTCACTGGTTCAGATAACTCTAGGAACTTACTCTTGAAAAGTTGATTGGCTGAAAAGTGGATGCAGGTTAACCCCTTTGCCCTACTAGATACTGAGGTCTTGGAAAGTAAGGAGTGGCAAAGCCACTAGTCACTCCCTCAGAATCCATACTCTTGTCCCCAGGCTTTGGTACAAATTCCAAAAAAGGAACTGCAGAACAAGTATCCAAGAGGAGGAAAAATAACCATCCCCTGGAGTCTCATAGGAAGAAGAAATAAGTCTTTTATATCAATTTTCTGAATGAACAGTCACATAAATTAAAAAGCTTTGTCTAACCAGTTAATTCATCACAGTAGCTGTAGTCAGCATTTCACATTTCTACCTACTGCTATAATCCCATTCCCAAAACTACCAAAAAACACAGCCTGGGGTCAAATATGTATCAGCCATATTCATTCTATACAAACAATCCCAACCTCTTTCCTAGGGAAGCCCCCCCGGCAGGCTAGCTTTGAGGATGCTGAGGCAAAAATCAGCTCAGTAGTCTGGAGCAGGCTTCTCCAAAACTGAGTGGGGCAGGGAGCGGAATGGAGAGAAAGGGAAAGGTGCACAGCCTCACCTGCAGTTTGGTGTAGGATGCATTGACCAGCCCATTGCGCAGGATCGAATGCCAGTTTTCAATGTGGGACCCACTGTAAGGCAGGGTAGAATACATGTCTCTTCATTGTATGAGATTCCCAGAAGCACATCCGAGACCACCACACCCACCCATTCTCACCCACACAGGACATGATGAACACAGATACACCTAGCAATGGATATGCACATGGAAACAGTCACAGGGATGCAACATATGTGTGTGTGGCTAACTCTCCATCTTAATTTCCAGTACCATCCTTTTTCCTGTGCTTCAGCTAGTCCCATCCTAAATCAACTGCTGGTTCAGTATTTTCACCTGCCTATTGTCCTGATATTTCAAGTTAAGCAGATTCATTTCAAAATCAACCAACTGAGCAATGATCCCAATATGGCTGCCAGTCCTAACTTCACATCTATTTTAAGAAAAAGGTACCACCACTCCCTTCTTAATATTTCTCTCACTTTCTCTTTTTCCACAGTTAGGCATAAATTGCTGACTTCCTTCAAAACAGCTTTCAAATCTATCTCCTCCAGTCTGTTCCCTCAACCACATCTTTTTATATGTAAATGTCATTTCTTCTCAACTACAACATAAGTAGCTTGAGAGTAAAGACTGTATCATATGTATCTTTCTACCCTCTACAGCACCTACCACAACAGCATTAAGAAATATCTGACTGATTGGTTGGACATAGGTAACACACACTCATATACCTCAAGTGAAGTTGCCCTCCCCCTCCCCCCCATATTATTTGTTGTCGTCCTCCCTACTCCCCACCCCCAGTCCCCACCCTCCTCACTGGAAGGCAAAGGTGCTGCCGTAGAGCTTCTTGGCGGTCCGGAACCGAGCCTCCTTGGCAGGAGGGCTGCTCAGCAGGAGGAACTGGTGTGAGGTGTGCATGAACTTCAGCTGCTGCCCAGGGTGGGGGTCGGGTCAGGAAAACAGAGAAGAAATGGAGATCAGGGAGGGAAGGGTTGGGGATGAAGAGCAAATCAGGCTTGCACTGACCCCAAATAAGGAGCATATGCTTAGGCCCAGAGACTACTGTGGATGGACGGAGCTAATGAGGCAAGTCTAGGATCAACGTGGTTAGCTGGTTTGGAGCCCTTCCCTGTCCCTCACCAGAAATTTAAAGAATTTAGGAGGAGAATGGTCACTTACCCTGCTGAGAGGTAGTTTGACAATGTGTGACCTGTTGCTAGAGATGATCCTAGTATGAAACAGAGAAGAAAGGAAAGGACAGAATGGGCGTGTCGTTAGACCATCCAGAACAAAGCGGTACTCTTGCCATACCCCTGGGAAAACAAGTAAGGATTCCAGAGCTGTTGGACTTGTGTGAAATGTCCAGGTCACTATCCAGATATTCCGGTTTGTGGTAACACTTATGTATAAAAATGTAAAAGGGAAACTACTGACCAGAGATCAGCTAGTTACTGGGTAAACAATGAATCAAAGAAAAGACATAGGTGAAAGGGAGACTGTTACATCTAGAAAGAGAAAAGAATAAAACAAAAGTGGGCGCCTGGGTGGCTCAGTCAGTTGAGCGTCCGACTTTAGCTCAGGTCATGATCTCATGGTTTGTGGATTTGAGCCCCACAGTGGGCCCACTACTGTCAACGCAGAGCCCACTTTGGATCTTCTGTCCCCCCTTCTCTGTCTGCCCCTCCCCCGCTTGCGTGCACAAGAGCGCACATGCTCTTTCTCAAAAATAAATAAACATTAAGATAAAGGAAGAGCACATAAGATCAGCTACAAAAAACAATAAATTAGAAAGCAGGGATCTGTATTAGCATGGTGACAACTTATACTTGGGACTTAGAAACATACAACTGGGGCTCAGAGGAATCCTTCAGGGCTCTTGAGCTTGGGAAGGAATGGAGACAAAGTTACTGTTTGGGCTGGAGAAAGACAAAGAAGAAACTATAACAACTCTCCCTACGATTCAAGGATAGACTGGTCTGTGTTTTGGCTCAACTCAGAGGGCAGGAGAGAACAAAGGCATAAAACATTGAGGACTCCGCATGGGAGTGTTATCTCATATAGTGGATAGAGTTTGTCTTTTTTTGTGCTTCACCCATTTTCTTGTGATGCCATCCTGGATAGTCTATGCCTGGTCATTCCTGATGCTCAGAGGGAGCATGTTGCATTGAGAAAGTACTGATGTCAAAGGCTGACTAGGAAAAGAGGGAAAAGCTATACCAGGAAAACAATAGCAATCAAGATTAGGGAAGGAGGGCAGGGGGTGGAGGGCAGGAGAGAATTTTCAAAATCTTTGTTCGAAGGGAATAATAATAGTGCCTCAAAGGCTCTGGACAGTCTACATCAACAGGGAAGGCCTTGAGACAGGGAAAGGGAATAGAAGGAAGAGACAGACCTCTCTGGATGCACAGAAAACTTAGCTGAAACAGTATTAACTCCTATACCCAAAGAGTACTATTGGGAAATAAGAAACACCTAAAGAGAATCTGAGACATCGTGTCAGAATTTGTGAGCTCCCGGTAAGCTCTGAGTTCTAATCAAGACCAAGTATATCAATAAAACGCCAAGAAAAGGCAGCCAGAAAATCTATAGCCTCAGGAAGGATGCCGGAACTGTCTCTAAAAGGTGTAGGTTCCATGACTAATACCATATCCCCTGCCACCTCTGCCCTCCCCCGCAATCCCTGAAGGACAAACCATTCTATCCATATCACTTACCACTGCAAGAGAGGATGGGCCAAGGGATCCAGCTTGTCCATCTGCTTCTTGATTTCTAGATATGAGCCCTGTTAAGACAAAGGTGATAAAGTTACCTCCCAGGAGAGGTGGGAGCCCTCCCACTTGTGACAGACTAATCAGGGCCCGGGGCAAGGCAGGCACTGAAGGCCACACAAAGGCAAGAGGAGATAGGGTTCCCACCCTCAAGGAGCCCAGTCAGATTGGGAAGACTCATAAATAAATATGAAAATGACTGAAAATGCTTACAAAACAACATGCAGGTGGGTCTCCCTCATTTTACGCAATTCCTACAGCTCTAAAAAGTTGACTTCAAATAAAAAATAAATAAAATCAATGTCCCAGAAAGATTAGGCTAAGGAATCCTGTGGTAAAACTTTACATAAAGCAAAGAGTCCTTCTGACAAGTAAATCATCCCTCCTAGGTATATCTTATGTGTTAATCTGAACTGTGATATATAGGATTTGCTGAGAAGAGGCCCACCTGTAAATGTGAGTACAAATGAATGTCTATTCATGCAGAGATTGCAGACGAGGGGTGGGGAAGTCTGGTGAGGGGCAGCCTTGAGTCAAAGGATGGTCACTGCTCCATGTTGCTGCCCCACCCCTAGAAGGACAGAAGATGTAGGCCCCTGGGGCTAGTTCCTTACATCCAAGCCCCCTCCTCGCCCTCCCAACCCTGGGCAGAAGTCTTTCCCTCACTTCTCTAATTCCCTAAGAATTATGGGGAAAACATTAAATATGAACAACTTGTGAAGGAACTGGCAGCAAAGGTAAAAGTTGAGAGAAACATCAGGAGTGAAAAAGAGAGTAACAGAGAATAAGGACTGGGAAGGCTGAAGAGGGAAGACTAAAAAAAAATTCAGTGAGGAATCTGAGTAGCATTTCTAAATCTCCACTCCAGTCCCATGGATTCCAAGCACAACAGTGCACTTAAGCAGGACAGGCAGAGGGCAGAATACCTGGGTCATCTCCCGGATGGACATCACACTATCCAGAGCTTTTTGAAGTCGCTCATAATTCTTCTTCTGTGGGGAATCAATGGGAAGAGAAGACCCAGATGAAGAAAAGTGGAGGAGAGTAAGATGTGATGAAAAGGAGGGCCAGATGTACAAAAGAGGTCTAGGCCCCAGGGAAACAGTATGACATGTCATGGAAAGAACACAGATTTAATGTCAGACAGTTCTGGAATCACATACTAGTTCTCTTTTAACAGCTAGAAGTAATAAGGTAAGTTACTTAACCTCTTACAACCTCAGGACCCTGTGTGTAAATGAAGATTAAAATTACACTCACAGAGATCATTCCGAGGAATAAATAACATCTGTAAAGAACTAGTATAGTGCCTGATACATAGCAGTAAGAGTAATAATGAGACATTCTGCTGGGTACTTGTGATGGTTAATTTCATCAATGGTTAATTGAGTTGATCTCACTGGGTCATGGAGTGTCTGAACATTTTGTCAAACGTTACTCTTGGTGTGTGTCTGTGAGGGTGTTTCTAGATGAGATTGACCTTTCAATCAGCAGAATGAGTAAAGCAGATTGCACTCCCTTCATTTGGGTGGGCCTCACCCAATCAGTTGAAGATCTGAAGAGAACAAAAAGGCCCAGTAAGAGGTAGGTAGTCAGCTCTGCCTGACTGCTAGAGCTAGGACACTGGTCTTTTCCAACCAGTGGACTGGAACTGAAAAATCTGCTTTTTGAGGATCTCAAGACTGCCAGCTTCTGGACTGGAATTTACACCATTGGCTCCCCTGGGCCTCCAGCTTGCAACTGCAGATCCTGGGGCTTCTCAGCCTTCATAACTATATGAACCACTTCTTTATAATAAATCTCTTTCCCTATATATCTCCTACTGGTTCTGTTTCTCCAGAGAACCCTAGTACAGTACTTTACATATGTGATTTTTCATTTTTACAACAATCTGCAAAGTAGATATTATCCCCTTTTTACAGACAAGGAAACCGAGGTACCAAAAGGTTAAGCAACTTTTTTACACCATTCTGCTAGGGAACAGTAGAACCTCAAAAGGAATCCAGGTCTGTCAGGCTCCAAAGTCTATACTCTTCCCTAGTATAGCAAATAATTCTTCTCTCCTCCTTCTAACAAACTCGGTTATTCATTGAAACAGCTAAAGCTTAGGGTTTAAAGAGTCCCCAAGAACCAAGTGTTCCATTCCTTCTGTCCCTCATTCCACGCTGTTATATACACTAGAATGACAGCCTATAGTCTCCCGTCTCTTTCATTGTTTCTATTCCTTAGCCCTGACTTTTTCCCCATGCAACAATACCTTGGGGTTAAAGGCCAGAGTCTTGGGATCAGTGGGGTCCACCACAGAGGGATAAGGCTCAAAGATGATGCTCTTTCTAGGGGACTCCAAAGCTGCCCTACACATGGCCACCAGCAGATCCACCACCTTAGGCAAAAGAAGAGAAAGGGGGCAGAAGCTAAAGAGTTTCCAGTGCTGGGAGTCACATAGTATCCGGCATAGGTCTATCCACCTTTGGAAGCTCTCAGCACTTCTCTCTGCTGTTCTTTCTAAAAGCAAACATGTTTATGGTTTTTTCCCTTGAAAACACAGGCTCTTCATAAAAATTCAAGTAACAACGATGTAAAAAATGACTAAAAAAAGATAAAAATCAGCCCCTGCCCCCAAACAAATCTCATTCCTCACAGGCACTACTGCTAAGTCTGAGGTCTACCTTTGCAGATTATTTTTCCTATGGAAATAGTTATTTTATTAAATAGACAATTTTAAAAAAAGAACTATACTGCACATACTGTTGTCTTTTCTTTTTTATATGTGTTATAATTTTCTACCCATAAATACCAGCTGTATGGTATTTCTATTGTAAGGACATACCATGATTTCTTTAACCAAATCCCCACAGGTGGAATCGTATCCATTCTTTTCTCACTATTACAAACAACAGTACCACAAACACCCTTACATATGAAAGCATTTCTGGAGATTAAATTGCAAAGAGGTGACACTGCTAGGTCCCCTCGCCCTTCTTGATACCAGCTCCCCAGCAGCTTTTCCCTCTCCCGTACCTCTGCTCCAGTAGCAACCTCCTCTGCAGCTCCGGACATGACTCCCAGTGTGTAGAAGGAGAAAACACACAGCTCACGAGTACAGACGGCTGGCTGAACGGACATATTAAACATAGAGTAGTGGCACAATGTGTGAAATAAGGTGATGTTATAGGGAGACAAGGGCAACTCTGACCTTAGACAATTCTAGAATGAGGTAGGACTTTGGGGCCCTCTACGTCATGAAAAAACTATAAATTAGTCTTAATTAAAATGCCTTACTTGTAAGATTGAGAGTTAATGCAATCTCCTCTATGAAGTCTTCCATGACTTCCCTAGGTAGTTAGATGCTCTCTCTTGTGAGTTTCCACAACACTATTCATATCTCTTCTACACACTGACAGTGCATTGTCTGTCCACCCACCTAAATTTGGGAGTCCTTGAGGACAGCCTCATACGCAATCATCTTGATCAGTATCTTAATATCTGATCCCTATTTTTAAATGTTAGGTAGGGATTATATCTTCAAAAATATTCATATATCCTTGGGGTGCCTGAGTGGCTCAGTTGGTTGAGCATCCTACTCATCACTGATTTTAGCTCATGTCACTATCTTGCGGTTCATGGGACTGAATCCCACATCGGAGTCTGTGCTGATAGCACAGAGCCTTCTTGGGATTCTCCTTCCCTCTCTCTCTCTGTACTTCCCCTGCTCTCTCTTTCTCTCAAAATGAACATTTTTTAAGAAGGACCACTAGAGAAGTGATAATACATATTAAAAAAATTCATATATTCTCATCTTTCAAAACAGGACTGCTGAGATTTGTTTTCTGAGGAAAAATAATTACACCTAGAGTCTTAAGAATTAGGGATAAAATTCTACCTTTACCATAGACCCAGGAAGAAAGGAAGAAAGGAGAGATGAGGAGAGAGCCTTGGCTAAGGGTGCAAGGAAGAGAGTCACAGATTAGGGCACATACCTTGAGCATGGACCCATTCTGGAAGACATGCTGTTCATCACACACCACACAGTACTCATTCAACGTTGGAATCCTCTGCTCTGCATACTTCATGATCTGGGAAGAGAAGATCGTTACTAAGCCTTTTGGAAGTGCAGGCACAGATATAGGAAGTAATATGAGCTTCTTTTCCAACTACTCTTCCCTCTTCCAGGCCTGTGCCTAAGGCAGACTCTATTTTTGGGCCTTGCACTTAGTCTAAGGGCCCAAATCTATAGCTACAGCAATATATTATAGTAAAAATAACACCAGCCATGGTTGAAGACCTAAGTTAAGATCCTCCCCCCTCCACCACCACTACTTGATACCATATATAACTTCAGGCAAATTGGTTAACCTGAGCCTTGGTTTCTTCATTTATAAAGTGATATTATTCACCTCATAGAGGAACTGAGATTACTGAGAAAATTTTCATGAAAGTGTTCTATAAATGTTAACATGTACTAACCAAGATTAACCTTAGTTGTAGTAATTAAGACTATCCATCTGAGACAGGTGAATATTCAGATCATGGCAGGAGGCCTGAGAAGCCATTTCAACTACCAGAACAATCAGCCTACCCACTGGTCAAAGCCATAGATGCAACTCTGTGCTGGGAAGAAAGCAAAAATCTAGAGCACATATGGCAATATGCTAAAGAATTTTTTAAAACACTCTGTCTAGGCAGAGCATCTGGCTCAGTGGAGCACACAACTCTTGATCTTGGGGTCATAAGTTCAAGCCCCCATGTTGGGTACAGAGGCTAGTTCAAAAGAGCAACAACAACAACAACAAAACCATACTCTGCCTAAACATGACTTTTTCAACCAGGTACACTTTTGTATAAATCAAGTTGTTCCCATTTCACATACTTTTGGGCTGGTAAAGGGCTTTTATTCACTCAGATGTATTGAATGCCTACTATGTACCCAGTTTGCTGAATGGTCTCCTTGATTATGCAGTAACATAGAAAGATTGTCTTCTCAGACCCTAAAAGCCAACAAGGGAGATGTGACATGTATACAAATTAATTACAACTCAAGGCAGCATATGGTACACTACACATAGGTGCCATATAAAACAAAAAGCATCTCAAGGGTTCAGTGATGGGTGGCTCAGTCGGTTAAGCCTCCGACTTCAGCTCAGGTCATGATCTCACCGCTTGTGGGTTCGAGCCCTGCATCAGGCTCTGTGCTGACAGCTCAGAGCCTGGAGCCTGTTTCAGATTCTCTCTCTCTCTCTCTCTCTCTCTCTCTCTCTCTCTCTGCCCCCGCCCCCCAACTTGCAGTCTCTCTCTCTCTCTCAAAAATGAATGTTAGAAAATTTTTTTAATAAAAATTAAAAATTAAAAAAAAAGTTCAGAGAGAGGAAATATCACTTCCAGCTAATAGGGCTGGAGTAATAGTGAAGAATTCTTTGGAAAGGTAGCATTGACCCTTGACTGCAACAGGCAGATAACAGGGAGGAAGGCCAGTGGGAGGAATGCTGTGAACAAAGACAATTAAGATGCAAAAATGAAAGAAAGCATGTCCAGGGAACAAAGGTTTTAGAAAGAAATCACCTAAAAGTAGCTGAGCAGTGGAAGAGGTCTACTAGGGAAAACTGAAGACCACTTGAGCAAGGATGTTGGGGATCTATAGGGAGATCAGTGTCACTCCCTCTCCTATCTTGACACCTATGCACTTAAAATCATTTGGCACTTGATCGTCGTGGTCTGGCAGTGTTGTCCTCCCAATGATGCTGTAAGCTTCTTGAGGATGGGAACTGTGCCTTCTTTTCTCCTATCCACACACTACTTCATACAGTTCTGGGAGCAGAGCAACTCAGGAAATATTTGACTGAAAAGCTGGGAGATGTTAGAGGATCGGATTGGTCAGACAAGAAGGGAATGGCTTAGGAATGAAGCTTTGGATTCAATTACCTGGACAAGGAATCCATATTCCAGGGTGGGGATATTCTTGCAGTGACCACTGACCTGATGAGTAAAAAGACCTCATGAGCCTTCTATGAAGCGAGTACCTAGACAGAACTCACACTCATCACCTAGGATTCTCCTAAAGTAGCTACGCCCTAGGTCCCATTAGCCTAAATAATCTCATAACCGAAGAGAAGACCTTTAAAAATTTTTGCCAAAGGTTCTTGAAAAGGACTCACCTGTCCTTAACCTTTTTCAAGGTAGGTAGATAAGCTAATACAGCAGCTGATGGCCAAGTTCTAACCACAACCTAATAAAATCGTACATAACATTTTGAGATGCCCAAGCCCAGACTCCCTACTTCATTGCCTACTATCAAAGAAGCTTGCCAGATAGTTTGGATATGTTTTCAGCTTTTAAAAAATGTTCTGCATTCTATCCATTCAGGATAGATGCCCAAGTTTGATTTAGGATGCCTGAAAAACCATACTCCCACCTCATTTTGAGAAGCTATACTCCCACATTTCCATTCCCACCCTCCTGACACCCAAGTCAAACCCTCCCCAGCCCATGTACCAAAGGAGAGGTCCGTGCTGGGGGAGGGAGGCCCACGTGCTGGGGGCACAGGAGACCTGCCTGGGGGCTGGGAGGGTAGCCAAACACCTCCACTTTGGGGTTCTTCATGGTGCAGGAGATAGAACGGTTCATGAGGCGCCCAACTCGAAGCTCGGGTACACCCAGTTTCCCTTTCAGCATGGAGTCCTGTATGATTGGGAAACTGGGAGACCTGGAGAGAGAGCAAAGGGAAGTTATATAACTGGGATTCAGTATGAGCCCTAGAAGAATACTAGAGATAAGTGGGTCCTAAGCCAGGATGGGTAAAGTGACCTACCCAGCCAAAGAACTCCTATTTGAGCAAAGTTACACCAGATCTTAAACACATTTTTTAAAATGTTTATTTATTTTTAAGATTTTAAGGAAGAGGCAAAGTGCAACCAGAGGAGGGGCAGAGAGAGGGAGACACAGAACCTGAAGCAGGCTCCAGACTCTGAGCTGTTAGCACAGAGCCTGACGCAAGGCTCGAACCCACGAACCATGAGATCATGACCTACACCAAAGTCGGACACTTAACTGACTGAGCTACTCAGGTGTCCTGGATCTTAAACACTTTTAAAACAAGTAGATCACAAACCTGAATTGATTTTTATGTCATTATTTGTGTGTTCGTCAGACTGCAACATGGAGGACAGGAAGAGGCAAAGTCTTGGTCAATCTCTACAGCACCTAGGCCAGGTAGGGACTGATCCCCTGGACAGGATGCCTGTTTCATTTACTCGGTGTGTGTATGTGCATGCTATGTGTGTGTTTTTATACATTAAAAGTACTAAATGCCATACTAACCAACAAGTAGTTGCAACCCCAAAACCCTGATGTCTGTCTGTCAACAACAGTGCCTGGGAAACTACAAATATGGGTTTGTATTTCTTTGGGAAGATCAGAAGGCACCAGGAAGGACGATGTAGGCCTGGGGACAAAGAATGGGACAGTATTTACTTCCAAAACTTTGATAATAAATCCGTGTGCCCTTTCATGAGAGAAAGGAGTCGGTGCCTTTCTCAAACTCTGCCTTCTTAGAAGAGGGCAAAAGGATGAGGTTCAAAGAAAAAAAAGACAAAAATAGCATATATTTCTCCAAAAATATACCACAAGCAAGGTATTGTGTTTTAGATGAAGGACAAGGTATAAATATTGGTGTCAGAAGTACAAGGATAAAGATACCTAAGAGACAAGACTATGTGTGTGGTGTTAATAGTTAAAGGTGCAGAATTCAGAGGACCTTGGGAGAGAGCAAAACAGATTAGTTTAAGTAATCAAGAAGATGGAGTAGGAGCTCAGACAAGACTAAGGTCATTAGAGATGATCTGCTCCTAGAGGAACACTTACTTGGGGATGGGTGAGAAGATGCTGAGGCCAGCTCGGAACTTCTTGATGGTACCACTTGCCTTGAACCAACTGTGCCTCTTTTCTTGCTGAGTCTTCAAGAAATCGTTGCTGAGATGTTTCCATTGTTGGGATGTGAACATACCCAGGATCCTAAGGAATCAAAGACAACAGGCTTACAAAACTCAGGCAGAGGAGTAGGTCAAGAAATAGAACTATGAAAAGCAACTAATCTAAGAACTAATAAGATAAGTATTATCTTAAACTTATGGCTTCCAATTTGAGCTGGGCCCTCTACTAGTCTTACCAATCCTTTTTCATGTGTCTTTGATCAGCTCTCTCTGGCATTACTCTAAGCTATTACTGCAAATCCTTACCGCTTTCATTAAGCACGTAACTTCACCTACGGCTGAGAATCTCTTCCTTCTTAACAGAGAAAACTGAAGCCATCAGTTACCAGCTCCCTTAATTTTCCAAACCTACTACAAAATCTACTTCTGTTTCTACTCTTACCTCAATCCCTCCATTCTCTGGAAACAAGGTGACCGAAGGGCTATTTGTGTTCTAGATCTCAGCCCTTTCTTGCCTCTTTAGGGATCTTGACCCATTAATTATCCCTCTCTCCTACCAGTTCCTTTCCTTAAGTCTACAGAAAGTTTTAAGTTTCTGCACTTCAGTCTAGCTACATCTCCTCCTTCCCCTCCAATCCTCACCTAAATATCTCAGTCCACACTGATTATATCTACTTCATTGCCAACCACTCACTTCTCAACTCCCTGTATTCTGATTTCTACTTTTACTTCTTCATTATGACTACTCTCGCCTCAATGCTAAATCCAACAAAAACTCTTAAGTTCTCTTACTTACACTCTCTGGCATCTGACCCTTCTTGCAGAAACTGTCCTCCTTGCCTCCTGTGATACCATTCTCTTCCTATTCTTCTCCAACTTTTTTCACCTACCTTCAATGTTTCTTCTTTCTCTGCCCACCCTGCTGGTTTCTTCGGTATTTTGTCTGGATGCTAAAGGCTGTTTTGCTTTTGATCTTATTTTCTTTTCTATGCTCTTCCTCAGCAATTTCATACTCTACACTGGTTGTAATTTCCACCCATACACTAAATATATTTTCAACTCTAACCTCTCCTGTTACATTATCTATATACTGAGTACTTCCACTTGAATATCCCAAGGTCACCTTTACCATGCTTAAAATGGAACTAATTATCTAACCTTATCCCATAAACCTGTTCCTCCCCTATTTAAACTGGAAGCGTTACAATTTACCGAGACGTCTACGATGGAAACCTAAGAGTAATTTTCCACCATTCCTTGGCTCTTATGACTACACACGACATATCCACATCAATCTTCAAGTCTTACTGATTTTATATCCCACAAATCTCTCTAGTCCACCTTTCATCTCTATTCTCACCTATAATCACACTTTGGCGTACGCCCTCATCATCTCATGTTGGGAATTCTACAAAAGCCTCCTACTAAACTACCTTTGGTCTCTTGTCTCACCCTCACCTACCTATTTTACACAGTGTTACTGGAATCATTTCTCTAAAACTAAGTCTGACCATGGCCTTTCTTTGCCTAGAACCCTTCAACGCTCCCACTGCCTAGAAGATAAAAGCCCAAGATCCTCTCTGACTTGGACCCCTTCCTAGTTCTCTGGCTTCAATTCCTACACTCTCCCCTTGTATTTTCCTAGCAACATTTAACTACTTGAAGCTTCCTACACACATGCTGCTTCACCTGACTATGCCCTTGCAAATGTTATTCACGCTCAGAATCTGTCTGCATAGGCAACTCTTATCCATCCTTGAAAACATGAATCATCTCCCTTTCATTCATTCATTCATAGCCTTCCACCTGCCACCAGATTGAGTCACTCCTTCCTCTACATTCTTTCTAAACCTTACATATTCACTTGTAATAGAACATGTGTCCACTGGACTCTATTTGGAACTTCACTGAAGGTAGAATATAGAATTCATTTATTTCTCTTTGTATACCAAGACACTCAACATATTTTATAAACTATCTAAGCTCCTAGAGCCCCACGCTGAGAAAACCACAAGAGAAAATATGAAGAGCATGACCCTAACTCCAGAGTTGTACTTTTCCTTAAATGGTAAGTACTGAGGAGCCCCCCTCTCACCTCCAGGAGGTCTCAAGGCCAGACACCCCAGAACCAGAGGCTCTTCCACCTAATCATAAATTTAGCTTTCCAAATTTATTTTAGTCTTTCTTAGGTACATCTCAGAAAGGTATTTTGGGGAGGAAACATTGCATCCAAGGGTCTGCCTTGTATGTCCATCTCCTTCCCTCACGTGTCTATAACCAGAAAGATCAAAGTTCTTACTTTTTCAACTGAAGACCCAGCCCAAACCCCTCCTTATTCGATGGCTGGAAAACCTCAATTGATGGTTCTGCAAAGAGAAGAAAAAGCTCCTAGTATACACATATCTCTATTTTCCTGGGAGTCCAAAGCCCCATTTCAGTGGATGAGTTTCCTCAGATTCTAAGGGTACTCTTATACAGTAGTGATGGAGAAGGAAAACATCTGAAGCAGAAGGTAGATTCTGGGAGCTGTCTGACCCATTTCAAATCACTTCAACTTCTATGAGGAACTTGAGGAGAAGGGATGGGACAAATAATATCTGGGGACCAGAGGAAACAATTTCATTAACCAAGAAGGCCTTTAGGGGATGGCTCTCATGTGACAGGGAATGAGGACACCAATGACAGGAAACTGAAAAGCCCTCATCAGGGGCCTGCAGTATATACCCAAGCTTTTCTCTGGCTCAGTTAACTTAGGACTTTGGATTAAACCATACTCAGAGTGTCTACACTTGTCCATACTTGCCCAAAGTCACTGCCTTTACCTGGTCCATCAAGGTACTGGGAAAGAGAAAATCGCAGCCTCAACACAATAGGTTCCGTTCGGAGGACTTTCCAGGCTGTAGAGACTTCCTCCTAAAAGAGTAAGGGAAAGTTTCCACTTTAGCAACAGAGAGGAATGGACTTGGAAGTTTTCCCTATATGACACACACATGCACATGACAGTACACACCACTGTCTGCTGATGGTCTAGGAAAGACAGGAATGAAGAATATGTGCTCCAAATGCAGCACTCAGGAACAAGACTCCTGGCCTACATGACAAAATCCACAAGTCCAGCTAGACATGTTGTTGCAGGTACTAGCACCACTTACATCGAGGAAGCTGATGTTGATGTGGAGGTCAATGTCCACGTCATCGATAGTTCCATATTCTCTACAGAGATACAGGTGAGACTCATTAAGGGAGAAAGAAGGGAACAGAGACTGGGGATGGAGGGAGAACTGAGCCTGGGGCCAGGGAAGAGTGGAAGGTAGCACTGTATCTAGACTTAGCTGCAGTCTCAAGCCACTTACACGATCAGGGTTTTCTCCAGGCCAGAAGCCTTTCTTACCTCAAAGGTGAAACTATCAGCCTAGAGGGATCTAGGATAGAGGAGACTTCTAAGAAAAGTGGCTATATGTCCCTACTCAATGCTGTCAGCTAAGCTTAAGTATTCTGAGCAACCCGCACTACCTATCACTAAGCTCATAATATATCCATGTCCACAGACCCCCTATTATACCCTAAAAATAAAAGACCTTTAGCCTCCTAACAGCTCAGAAAGAAGTGGCTTGCTTCTGAAGTGGGGTCCCACCTGATGGATACAGAGTTCTCACTGTAGATCTCCTTCACGGCTTCAATGTCTGCATCAAGCTGTGGGTGTCGATACAGGTCAGCCGCACAGCTCCCCTGAGTCGGCAGCAAAAACAGTGGGGAGGTTTGGGAGGAGGGAAAACAGAGGGGAAAAGAGGGATGGAAAATAAAGAGCATGAACAAACGCCAGGAGCAGGAAAATTAAATGGCAGCAGTACATATAAGCAAAAAGCCTGCTCTTATGAAGGAGCTCTTGATGGTGGCCCAAACCACCAATCACTTGCATACAAGTCTCCCTCCATCTCCACTCTAGTTAGCTTCCGTGGACCACCTGCAGGCCTTGCTTAATGAGTACACAGCCTTAAGTTTCCAACTTTTCCTCTCAGACTCTGACCAGGGATACTTAGGTATCCCTTCTATGAGAACTCAGAACAGGCTGGAGAGTACAGAATTTAACTCAGGTGGTTCCCTGTGAAGAATCCAACATTTCCGCTCAGGACTGTGCCCTGGGTAGTGATGGCATGAGGCAATCACTGGCAGGATATCTTTTTAAAAATTTTGACCTTGATGAATGGAATAACAGCCACTGGCTGGTGAAGAGTCAAAAAATCACTATTTCCAACCAAGAACATATGGGTAGCCTCCACGTACAGAGGATGTAGTTTACTCTGGGAAAGGTACGAGTCCCAAGTAAGAGCAAAAATATGAGATCAGCTCTCACAAGTCAATGCTCAGACCGCACCAACACTGTATCCTCATTTAATCTCTGCTCCAGAATAATCTTTCACTACTTGATAAATTCGGAGAAGCACACATTTAGACTATCCAACATGGGTCTTAGGGGCTGTAATCTCACCTGAACTCCATAGAGAAATTCCTCTGATTCATTATCTCCCTCCGAATCATCATCATTCCAGAACTGGCCTTTGATGTCCTAGTGATGAGAAACAAGGATACAACCCTTTGTTGGATCCCTATTACCCCATGAAACAGAGTAGGGTGACAGGATACAAAACGGATTCCCACATACAATGGGAGGTCCTTTGGGATAGAATAATTGAGGCCCTATTCCCTTTACTCCCTTCACCTCACTCTTTGGGAACATCTCAGTCTCTTCCTGAATCTGGTCATATCCATGGCCTACCTTGGGAGGGATGGAGGAAAACAGGGAATTGGAATTTTGGCCCTCTTGACCGAGGCTCTGGTAGCCAGGGGAGTGGGAATGCAGACTTCAACATCAATGTTGATTCCTGGGCATATCTAGGTCCTAGCGCAAGCTGGCCTCTTCGGGATCATTACCCCAAAGCAGCTCCCATGCATACCTAAGCTCTTATCAATCCCTCTCTCTTAGCTCCCCTTCCTTCCCAAGAAAATCCACCTGTACACACACCAAGTAATACTGTCTCCTTGCTCTTTCTCCTTCTTTCAACTTCAGATAAGCACTCTACCTTTCAAAAGGGTAGGAGGGAGAATAACAGGAAAAGGTGTCCCATCTCTCCCTAGATGACCAGTTAGAGAGGTGGGCAGTTAGTTCTCACCATTGGGTCAGTGGGTCACACACAATCCCAGGTCAGTGCTAGGCAGCACCCCTCCATACCACCAGCTGAACCCAGGCCAACGGGATGGGCATTTAGGAGGCCACAGAGGGAGACAAGGGAGGGGGTGATGTCAGGGGCTGACTGTAGATCTGCTGGGGATGGCAGGCTCTGCTGTTGTGGTGATAACAAGTCACTGTCCTGTGGAAAGTAGACAACAGTTGGTTTCATCACCACTTAATAGCTAGATGGTATTTACACAGGCACACATGTTTATGGATATGCTTTTATTAGACAAATGTACAGACACTTGCACAGAGACATACTTGCATGCATGTACACACACTTATACACATAGTTTTTTAAAGATAATGAGCCACCAAAGCACTATACAAACATGAGACACTACTGTTCCGTTTAAGCTTGAAGAGTTGGGATTGGAGCAAGCCCCTGCCTTAGACCATAATGCTGGATCAACCCCTGAAGCCAAAAGTGATGGTGACAGGACCAGATGTTATCTACTTTGTCTAGTCAGTTCATTCTGGAACATTCTTCATAGTGCCAACCCCCATCAGAATCAAGATTCTTTTGAGAATCTTTACACCTATTTATTCAAACTGAATCATTATTTCTTATTAAATATCAATATCCCTAGAAGCCTTTACCTGACAATCAAAGCTAACTTAAAAAGTCCTCAACAACACTGAATATCCCCTGGTAGACGTGGTCTGAGTGGTCTCATCTTGGAACCTACTCCCCAAATAAAAATGCAATGATGATCTAAATAAATAGTCAGAAAAACACTAACCCCTAGCCCTTTCACAAAATTTAAGAACCACTGTCTAGGCCTTCCTGGCGCTGCACGTATCTGTCTCACCCACTCCCAGCAGAGGTGTTCTTGGTCTCTAATATGGTTCTACTGAGCCTTAGGTTTGAAGACCACAGTGGGCTTATGGGCAGCATCAGTATCACCTGGAAACTTGTTTAAAATGTAAATTCTCAGACCCTGACTAAGACCTACTGAATTAGGAACTCCAGAGATGGGGTCCAGTAATCTGTGTTTTAAGAAGCCCTACAAGTTATGCTGATGCATGATAAAATTTGAGAACCCCTGTTCTAAATCCTTGTCTACTCCAGGGGCCTGTAGTCTATTCCTCAAATACTAACTTAAGCCTGGCAACTAACTGATCCAGGATGAAGACATATGGCACAATGCCAGGACATACACCATAGCTGTCCTCTCAGTCATAGTGCTGCCTGACTCATCAAAAACAATATGCAAAAGGAAATTACAATTGAAGTTCTTAGAGATAAAATAGTCTGATACCTGAGATTTACTTTCAAATACTACTCCAGCCCCAAAAGGACGATATGGGTGTATGGGGAGGGGGATGAAATAAATATGGCAATATATTAATCATTGATGAATCTGTGGGATGGGTACATGAGTTTCTTATACTCTACTTTTGCATGTAGTTGGGAATTTTTATAACAAGTTAAAAAAAATCACAGGCTACTCTTGTACTTTTTCAGGGGCTCTCACTAAAAAGACAACTCTAAATGTGAACAGGAATATTATCCCTGAAACTCCACAACTGCCTCCTTGCTCTTCTTTAAACATAACAAGGATATTCCCACCACTTTGTCCCTGCTGTTGCCTCTTCTTGGAATGGTTTTCAGATATCCATATGGCTTGCTCCTTCACTCCTTTGGCTTTCTGCTCAAAGGTCATCTTAACCATCCTACAGAAAACAGTAAAACCTCAACACACACACACTAGCACTCTCTATCCATCTCCCTTATCTGCTTTATGTTTTTCCACAGCACCATGCCCTGACATACAAAATGTTTGTATTTATCTCCCACCAAAATATCAGCTCTGTAGTGGCAGAGGCTTTGGCTCTTAACTTCTATGTGGTCAGTCCCTCAACTCATACTTATTGAATGAATAACCTGTCTGCTGGATATCTAAACCAAAGGGGAGATACATACACGAACCTAAACATGTCTACACATAGACAAACATGATTTTAAAAAACAAGACTCCATTCACCTTCAAGAGCAGCTGAGAACTAATATTATGAAGATCTGAGGGTTGAACTGGGTTTGTGAGATTTGAAAATAAACAGTCAGGCGCTGATCTGGATGATCACAGAGGAGTGAAGAGGGAGGCACTAATGTCCAGCGTGGGCGGTCTTGGGCTGGGTGGTAGGATGTTGGCAGCGTAGGCCAGAAGTACCAACTTTCTCAAGGTCTTTGTCACCGTAGAAGTCAAGAAAATGTCAGCCTCTCTCCAAGGGCTGTTGCTGCTTGGTTTCTGCTGTTATCACAAGGAGAAAAAGGTAGTTCAGAGGGAATTTTTCTTGTCCAGGGAAGAAACAAGTCAGAAACTACCATCGTTTCCAAACCAGGGTGTTTCAGTGGAAGGGACTCCCATCTTCTACTCTCAATGCCCATTCCTCTGGAGGTAAAGAATGGGTTTGAAAAGTAAAGAAAAAGGGAAAGGAGGGCGGGGGGGGGGGGGAAGGGTGATGGGTCACGAAATTCACAGAATCACAGACATCTGAAAGAGGAGTAAGCCTAAAAGATGATCTATTTCAAAGCTTTCACGTTATACATAGAATACTCAATTGTAGGAAGGCCAAGCAAGATGCTCAGCATCAGTAGAGTGGAACTTGGACTTAAGTACATTTGACAGGTCCTAATTACATCCAATTGTCCTATAATGTGGTTATGACTAATCAAGGGAGCTGTCTAATGAATTAAGCAAGAAGATCTATCTGTTTTATCTAAATGGGGTGAAGGAGGGAACCTTTCAAGAGAGGCTGGGCCAAGTATACACTGTGTGAAGAGTGCCCAAGGAAGGGTGCTGTTCAGCTCAGTGTTTTAATTCGGACGATGGCAGCTAACACAAAGCGCTTGACGGTTTGCAAGGAAACCGACCAAACGTAAATAAGCCTCAAGTCTGTATCACAAAGGTCTTTCCCTAGGTCCACAGGCGCTTCTCGGGTTGACAACTTTTCACCTAGTCAAAAAGCCTCCAAACCCAATGCTTAAACTCTGGGTTTAACTCCCAGCTTTGTAGTCCTGGGAAAGCGGGCTACTCCTCTCTATATCGAGTGCTCCTTTCTCAGAAAGCCCAGGCCACTGAACAAAGAGTGCGGGGGAGAACCCACGGAGGGGCGATTCTCGAAGGCGAGCGCTATCTCCGGTACAGCCCCTGGAGGGCAAGGACGAGGTTAGCCCCCAAACACCGGCTGCCAACCTCGCTTCCAGGGCAGGGCCCGAGGCCTCCCGGGGGTGGGGAGGGAGCAGCCACAGCTCTTCCCCGGTTTCCTACGGAGACCCCAAAGACACCCAACACCTGCCTCCCGGGGAAGAAGCTCTGTGCCCGATTTGTGTCGACAGCCGCCCGGCCTTGAGCGAAGCCTGTCAAGCAGGCCCCTCAGGGCCTCCCGGTCCAAGACCCTCACTTCATCCACCCCGGCCGAGGCGGGGCGGGCCCCACACCCTTCCCGCGGCCCGGCCGCCCCGCCCCGTCCCCGTGGCGGCAGCCCCACAGGCCGGCCTCGCGAGTACTCACGGCGACCCCGGGCCGCGTGCGGCCGCCGCTGAGGGGACTAGCGGCCCGGGACGCCCCGCGGGGGCGGAGCGGCAGGCCAAGGGGCGGGGGCCGGGCCGGGCGGGCGAGGTCGCGCACCCCCACGCCTCGTCGTTCCGTCACGGGCGCGCAGAGCCAGTCTGCGCACGCTCGCGCGGCGACACCGGCGTCACGTGATGCGCTCCTGGCCAATCGCCATGCGGCCTGCCTCTGGGCGTGCCACAGCCCGGGACGCCAGGCTTCCGACGCTTGCGCGGTGCTCGCTGGTTGGGAGGGGCGAGAAGCTGAGGGGTGGCGCCTGTGTCTTGGGTTGGGGCGGGTGCGTGGAAAAACAAGAGGGGCTCTGAGGGTACGGGAGAACCTCCTGAAAGAGACAGTTGGCACTTGGCGCCCCGTGTGGTTAGGAGGAATGAGCAGGGAAGGCAGTCCCCGCTCCCTCTCCTTGTCAGAGGCGGGGAGGCTGATTGAGGTTGAGAAGGGCTTCCTGAGACCCCAGGGGCTCTAAGAATCTCAGGATCGCAAAGGGAAGTCAAACACCTCATGGTCTTTTCTTAAGGTTAACTCACTTGCTCCCCTGGTAACTGTGGGGTGCCAGAAAGCACTTTGGCCTTCTAGTCAATCAATCTGGGTTCAAAGCTTGGTTTCTGCACTTACTGTTGAAGCCTCAAACCACGACTTTCACTTTCTGGGTCTTAGTTTTCTCATCTGTGAAGTGGGGACAATAAGACTTTTTACTGGGGTGGTTGTTGTGGTGAGCATAAAATAACAGCTCGAACCTTATGAAATTGCTGTTTGGCAGGCTATAGTCAAATACCTGCAATTTTATACGGTTCAATATGATACATACAAGAACCCGCCACTAGGAAGCAGTCCAGAAATGGAAGCTGTATTTGTGGTTGTTGTGGTTATTGACCTCAGGCATGGCCAGATCTCCCTTCATCTTTATCAGAATCGGTGTCTTAGGGTTCCCATATGCCCCTTTTTTCCATCAGCACTAATGAGGAAAGGCTTATCTTAGCTGTACTCTCCTTCCTCACTCCCTCTTTTTAGCTGGATACAGCACACACAAAGAAGGCTTTGCCCTGAGTAATATAAGCACATGTCATATCTATCCCTCTTGAGCTGGCCTCAGTCAGAAGATCCCTGGTGATGTTTTTCACATTTGGATATTCTCAGCATCTCTTTTCTGATTCCCTCTCCTTTTTGATGCCCAGCCCCCAGTCTTCTCCTCTTGCTCTCAGCCTGGGCCACAACACTTAGTATTAGTTACTTACATCCATTGCCCATAATAACTGAAAAAAAGTAAAGGATATAAAATAACAGGCCTTCTAGCCTTAGTTTCAGAGTATGTGGGGAAGGAGTTGGCTCTGCTTCCGAAAACAACTCCCCCGTAAGGGCCCCATAATAGCTTTTTAAAAAATTTTTTAATGTTTTATTTATTTCTGAGAGAGAGAGAGACAGCGTGAGCAGGGGAGGGTCAGAGAGAGAGGGTCACACAGAATCCAAAGCGGGCTCCAGGCTCTGAGCTGGCTGTCAGCACAGAGCCCGATGCGGGGCTCGAGGCCACGAACTGTGAGATCATGACCTGAGCTGAAGTTGGACGCTTAACTGACTGAGCCACCCAGGCGCCCCCCATAATAGCTTTTAAAAGCCATAAAGGCATGAGAGTATTTGAACATAAGCACTTTGGGTAAGCAGAGGGGGTCTGTCCCCATGAGTAAAATGTCAAAATCTAGTATTTCATAATTTTCCAGGATTTCTCCTCTCCTCCCCCTCCCATCTCATGCCACCAGCTCTTCTACTCAGTATGACTCACATGAATCTTGATTGCCTCAAAGCTTATCTGTATCTTCCTGGCTTCACTTGTTTTCCTATCCAGTCCAGATCCTATGGTCAGTTACTTTTATCACATTTTTGTTAATTTCCTTGCCCTTAAAATCACAATCTTGGATAATTCCAGCCATTTTCCTTCTCTACTCGCCAATCCTAGACTAAGATAAAGGAAATCACCCAATCCTGCAGAGCTGAGCTTGTGAGTGGACACTGTTTTGAGTTAGTCCAGCCCATGAACTGCCCTATTTTGTGGGCAGCATATTTTCCACACTCGCCCTCCAGGTCTGTGGGCCCCAGGGCCATATTTGTTTTGTGTGACCCCTGGCACCGGGGCTGCAATTGATTGAACTGTTAGTGGATTCCTAATCCAAGCTGTGCTAAGCAAATGTTCTCTCCTGGGAATCTTGGATTAGGGATGGGAGACTGTGATTCTACCTGGACTGGTTTCTTGAACAGAAGAGACCTACCTCCCAGCTACCATGAGAAATGAAAAAAGACTATCTGCAGGGAGAGAGAGAGAGAGAGAGAGAGAGAGAGAGAGAATGAACCATGTAGAGGCAGAGACCAGAAATGGGGAGACTTGTTTCTGCTTCCTAAAATCTTCCCAGGCTCCTCTGACCTTGTGGTGTCCGAGTCACATTTATCTAGATTAAATCGTTTAAGTTAGCATAACCTGTACCCAATGCAGAGCCTACTACAAATCCAGTCTCCTCAGTTAGCCCACAAAGTACCCAGCAATCTCTCTACAGGTCAGCTTCTGCCATCATCCCCCATTCTGCTTCAGAGGGAAAATAAAGGCAAGGGGGAGGAAACTGACCCTCAAAGCATCGGAATCTCTCTCACTCTTTCTTTCACAGAGGAGAGAGGTCTCCCTTCAAATCCTTCCACTGTGATGTGTATTTCATTCCCTTTTGTCTCTTTAGGAACTTTGCTCTTCACTTAAGCCTCCCCTTCACGGATATTCAACTTTTTCCTCTCCCCTACTCTTTGATCTCAGCATATAAAGTTGATCTACTGGCCCAACCATTTTTAAAAAAGTCCGATTTTAATCCCACACACTACTGACTGTTGTACATTTCGTTCTTGCCTTCAACAAGCTCCCAGGGAGTAGTGTGACTCTCCATCTCCACATCCTTACCTTCCATGTATTCCTGAAATCTAGTGCCTTAGACCTAGTGACCTCTTCCCAAAATCTCTACTGAAAATACTTTTGCTGAAGTTGCAAATGACCTCTGAGCTGAAAAAATTCCACTGGAAATGTTCAGGCTTAACTTATTTGAGTACTTGATGTCATTTGGCTTTGTTGATCACCCTGACCCTGCACCCTTTTACTCTCTTGGCTCCTATGGGCTCTGCTCTTCCAGTTTTTTTCCGACACCCACATGGGCCCTTCATGGCATCCTTATTGCACTCCTTTCCTTGCACCCACTATTTAAATAAGAAAACAGGGCACCTGGCTGGCTGAAGTGTGGAGCACGTGACTCTTGATCTCAGGGTTATAAGCTTGAGCCCCACATTGGATGTACAGATTACTTAAAGGCAAAAATCTTTAAAAATAAATAAATAAGAAAACAGTGTAGTCTACACCAATTTCCCATGTCCTCACTCTTCCCAGTAACCTCAATAGCACCCACCCAAAGCAGACCTTGGTAATTTGGGGTTTCTCAGAATCTGATTCCCTTTCCTTCTTACAAGATAAGCAGAGCCATGACAGACATTGAAAAGGTTGGGTCTTTTTTTTTTCCCCCCCCCACAGCTCTTAGGCAACTAAGACAGAGCCATGTGACATAGACCTGGCCAAGTAGCCCCCAGAAATGTAGATTCTGAAGTAAATGATTCAGAGAAATAGAACCATGGAGAATTCATCCTGGCAGTGGGCACCGCAGGGTCAACTCTATCCCATGCTTGGGGGCTATGGGATGAGTACTGGTGGTGGTGACATCAGGCATCCACTGATGGTGAAAGTAGCAGTATTCTCACTGTCTGGTTTTGACGTCTCACTTCGGCTTTTGTTCTGATGGACCGGCATCCCATTGTTCCCACTTATTTTCCAAGGTTGCATGTCCTGCTTGGCAATACTATGACCCACCCAGTGCCCTTTCAACTAATGGCTTTTCTGTTTAAATCATGCTGTGTGACACGGTGACTGCAGGTGACTAGGACTCCCAAATTTGCATCTCCATCCTTTCCTTGTTGAACTTCAAGTTGTCGTTTGGATAAGTTGCCTTTTAGACAACTCCACTGGTATGTCTCACAGACAAACTCATCTTCTTGTCAGTCTGCATCTCTTCCGTGTTCCTGGCTTTGTGAATAGTATCTGTGACTTGTTCAGCCTGAACCCTGAGAGAAAAGCATCTTTGACTTCTCCCACCCTCTTTTAAATGAAACCATTTTTACCTCGTAAACATCTTACATTTTACCTCTTAATGCATCTTAAATCAATCCCTCCTTTGTATTCTTGGTCCTCCTCACCAGAACCATGGCACTCTCCTCCTATCTAGACTACCTCTATCCCAGTATCTACTCCTCTGATCTATTCTCCACCTAGCTATCCTTCGGAATCTTTTTAAGACCCAATCTGATCATGTCACTCCCTTCAATGGCTCCCTCCCGCCCCCATGATAAAACTGACACCCTTTCTATGGGTCTGGCTTCCACTTGACTCTCACTGTTCCTTCACTTGCATCCTATACTCCAGCCGGGTCAAACCACACATTGTTACTGACCCTGTGGGACAATTCTTTACACTCCATAAATGCTTGATGGGGCTGATAGTCACAATGCCACCTCTGCCCTCCCTCCTCCCGAAATGGATACATGACCCATTGTGCCAGGCAGGAGACTCCATCACTCTGACCAATGTGATTAGTCCAGTTATGGGTTTGCAACTTAAGTGGAGCCAATCAATTTTCCCTTCAAAGCTCTCT